AAGGTCAATGTTTGCTTGGGCTGAACCTTTAAATTGTGTAACATTTTTTTCAGAAATTCTAACTGCGTGCATTTTTTTTTATGGAGTCAATTGTTCAACATATTTTTATCATACATACAGTATTATTTTCACATTATTTTGAAAATTCAGAAACACGGATTTTTTTTCGAAGCATACTCATATGAAAGTAAATTTTTGATTTTTTCCCCTATAATTGCAGAGAAAAACTTGCTTCGACTTTCGACGATTTTATTGATTTCTTATAATTTCGATCCGATGGGTTGGATTATACTAGCAACCTTACAGTTTCCCTCTTTCTATTGCAAAGGGCACATATATTTTGACAACCAAATTAACCTAGAAAATCTGTCATCATAATTTTTACACCTTCATTATAGTGTTTATCTTATTACTTCATATGATTATGCATCATAAATTAACAAATATAACAATGATCACATAATTCACATTTTTTTTTTTTAAAAAAAAAAAAAATAAATAAAGATAATTAAAAAGATTAAAAAAAAGTCATTCCAGATGCTACTGATACTGATACTATGATAACTATTTAGCATTGATTAGGATTTGTTAATGTGTTAACAAGCAACTTTGTTGAACTTGACCTTTGTATTACGAATTTTACGAAAGCAATTCATTTGGACTTTACATATGATATTGAAGCTAGACAACCAATATGAGAATGTTTAACAAACTTTTGAAGAAAAAGATGAGAAAACTACCAATTTATTTTTAGAAGAAAGGCTGCTAGAAACAACTGATTTATGAGTTTAAAAGGACTAAAACGGTTTTATAATTATCTTTAATATAATCGGAATGATTACGTCAAATTTGACCGATGAGATCACCAAATTGAAAAAATTTTGCACATAAGCGTGTCACGATTTTTCTGTTTATCGATTATCTTGGTATTAGATTTTAATTACAAAAATTGACTAAATATGTTTCTAAGTAGTTTGAAAGTTAGATTGGGATTGAGATTATATGACGAATAAAACTTCGGTCGGTCGGATTCAACCGTTCGGTCAGAATCACGATCGTGACCGAATATGACCGGTCATGACCGTGACCATTAGCATCCTAATACGCGTCAATTGATAAGCCACCAAATTATCTAACTAATTTAATATAAAAAAATTTTTTAGATTGGTAAAAAAAAAAAAAAGTGCATTTTATTGAGAAAATCAAAAAGACGGCCTGTAAGGTCGCCGAACGAATAATCAAAGTTGTTTTTATTTAGTCGTTTCTAATTACTTATGCAATATTTGTATGATTAATTAACATTGGTACATTATTTTGTTTAACAGGTCTGTGACAAGTTACTCTCGAAGTTGTACTCCATTAAATACATCGATCTACGTCATTTACTTTCTCGACGCATTGTACATAAATTTTTAACGATCGAAACATGAATGTTTAATTTATATTAGTAATCTTTAACTATAATTAAACATATTATAGCAAAACGGTTGTAGCAAGGAAAATAAAGAATCTTTTTTAAATAACTATGTAAACGCAAACCTCCTTAATCCTGAATCATGTTGAAAGGGATGTTTATTAATTAAATGATTCAAGAACTTTATTGCTGCCACCATATAAAGCAAACAAAGAAAGGCTCAAACTGAAGATAGTAATTTAAATAGGACTTTAAAATTCACTTACAATGGAAGTAAATCAAAAATCATATAATGCAATTAAGATACACGTAATTAAATATAATATATATTTATGTATGAATGAAATTTAAGCTAGCGGAAATGTACAATTGCAATTTACCTCTATTTTTTTGTGTAGTATTTGTCGTCTCATTTCATCATAAAATAATAGGAGTAAATTTTGTGTCAAAATATGGCTAATTTTTTTTGTTACATACAATAATCATTCCCTGTTCTCTTTAATACATCAATGAAGCGGATTGACCAATTGTGAAAAAAAGAGTTCAGTCTCTCTTTTTGATAGAGCAGTAAAAAAAATTTTTATTTTATATTTCTTCGACTTAAATGGTAAATCTTGGACATACATGGGTTTTGTGTAACAAAATTTCATTAAATAAAATTATCGCAGAAAGAACTTAAGTATCTATATAAAGTTGTAGCAAAGAAACCAATTTTTAAAAATATTTATTATTCTGATAAGTTTACAATAATTTACACTTGGAGATTACACAAAATATTGTGAAATTTTCTTTATGGGAATACGATCTCATAGGATGTATTAAGTTTTTATTCGTGAAAATTAAATATCATATTAAATGATCTATATATCACAAAACAAATTTGTCGCACTCTTGTCTGACTATTTTGACCTCTTTTACATATCACTGGCGGATACGAAAGTAATGGCAACATCATGTATTGCAGACTTTATTCATTTCATATATATATATATATATTGGATTTTTTTCATGTGTTGTGTAAAACAGCAAATGTATGAAATGCATTGTCTTATTGGTTTTTTTACGAATAACTATCAATAATCTATAAAAAAAAAAAAAAAAAAAAAAAAAAAAAAAAAATACTACAATCGGGGATTTATTTACGCGCCTCCTTATTAACAATCGGTGCTATTGTCCATTACTATTATTCATATGATGATACAATCCTTTGCTCTAACCTAATTTAACTCTTCTTCAAAGTCTAGTAACCTTAAATATGCCAAAAATTGATAACTCCATAAACAACGTTCAAAATGAAAGTTTGATGAGCGCGTTACATTAAAAAAAAAGACGCCAACGGAATTGTTCGTTATTTCCTTTTGAAGATTTTTTTAATATATATGCAATAGAAAAGGGGGAAACGATTGGAAAAAATAAAAAATGAGTTAATGCTAAATCTTAACATAAAAAGTAAAATTGATTTTTTCCGGCAGGTTCCCCCTTTCTATTGCAAAGGTCTCATATTCTATTTAGGAAATACCGTTATGCAATAAAAGAATTTTTTTTTATCTCTGTTTATGTATGTTTCAAAACTGATGATTATTTCATTCTTATAAGGAATATCTTTATAATTTATCGTATTTTTTGATATTCAGGTTATAAATTTTTTTTTTACAATCAATTAAAAACATCTTTACAAATTAATATATTAATCAACTATTTTAATTTTAATGTAAGATAAAACTTTAAAGTCATACTTTTATTTTAAACAAATAAATTATATAGAGCTATGATCAATAATATTATTTCAGCACGAAAAATTTTGTACCACAAGATATATAAAACGTCACGCGACCGAATATAGTTACTAATATTTTTTGTTTAAACAAAAATATTTCTTATAATTGGATAATCTTTTTTTCATATGGTAAATTAATTGACAAAATAAAAAATTTTTGCTCTTTGTTTTCAATGAATACAATAGTTGGCGTTAATTTCGATTGTTCACAGTTAACTATGTATTAATTAATATTAATTTATTTATTTATAAGAAAAATAATGAAAGAAAAAGGGAGTTTTTAAAAAAAAATAAATAAATAAACCATGTTTGATCCCTATTGAATGGTGCCTAAAACTCATTTTATAGATAATAATTTATTCATTGGGTAGTTTTTTTCCGTCAAAATAATTTTTTTCTCCCACTCTTATCTTTCTAATTAAGTTAGAATACAGTTTTTGAAAGAAAAAAGGCAATAAAGATCATAAATTATGTAATCTATAAATAAATTATTACAAATAATTGTAGTATTTCATGATACCATATTAATCCCTTATCCATAATAAAATAATAAAAAATCGGTTGATAAAGTTATCACCTGTTAATTTGTTATGTTTAGTATATTTACTATTATGATAAGGCTCTCGGTAATCCGGATTCCTTTTTAATTAAACAAATCAAATTAGTATGTGGGGTGATCATGTATTAATAATTCAAAAATTGTGTAACATTTTAGAACCGATTTATATTTTTTTTTTTAATCAATTTGTGGTCAAGATTCATGATTATCCAAAAATTTTTAAAATTAGTAAAACATTATTTAAAAAGAAATAATTTTAGTTATGCAAAATCTCAAAAATTATACACGCCTCGAAAATTTAAAACGTGATAAAAAGCTTTTTTAGAATTTAAATTATCTATAAATTATCAATTAACAGTTATATTAATCTTGAAGCAAATCCATTGCTGTTATTGTAAATCGGTTATAAGATAAAGTAGGCAAGCGTGCAAATTATATATATGAAACATATAATAAAATTCATTATGTATCTTAAAAATTAACTTAGATCGAATCATAACATAAGATTTGCAATCTTATTAGTATTATTTTATTAAAACTATATTAATTAGCTTTAAATGAAACCCAGCAAGCCATAGTCACATCGCAATCTAACAAAGCCAATATAATATAGTATTATGTGACTGCACTTTGTAATGTAATTATCGATAAGTAAAGTGTTATTATCGGCTGTTTAATAAATTAGTTAAAAATCATATTACTTCATAATATTCTAAATTTAGATATATTATGTTGAATATATATTTCGGCCTAAAAATCATATTTGACAAATAAAAGTAAATTTGATTTACCCATTCTATTGCAAAAGTACTATATGATTTATATGTTTATTTGCAAATGATTCATATTATTTTTAAATATAATGGCATTTTTAAGCACGTGAAAATGAAAATTGCTATGCTATGTTCTTAATGTGGTTACCTTATTTTTTTTTGAATTAACAGTTAATCAATGATTTTCAAGCCACTAACTATATATGTACACACCGGATTAATGTATTCATTACAAAAGCAATAAAAATTTTATTTTTTTAAAAAAATAAACAAAAGGTTTAATTAGTAAAATATAATGTTCAAACTTTGTTGCGGAGGTAGTATAAAATATAAATAAAGTATTATAACAAAATTTGAGAATACCAAATATTTGCGCGATAAATTTCGAAAATTTCATTACTTTAGATCATAAATTGAATAAATATACTGTACATCCGCCATTCAAATTAACTTGGGATTTTAACTTTTGAAAGTAACATGCAAACCAATTTAAGCTTCGATTATGCAACACCCGTGAAATATAACATACCTTATGATGATATTATTAATACGCATCTCATTTATTTGCCTGATTATTTAACTAATCATCAAGAAAGTAATCTTAATAATTGTGTTTATGAAGATATGATAGGCTCCTATACAAACGCATTTTTCTTTGGGTCAGCATATGGCTTTCGAGGCGAGGATAATGTTCAAGGTAATGATCAAGGATGTCAATAATTGGAAATTACATGTATAATAAATTCATTTAGATTAATTAAGATGATCAAAACTAATGAATCATCTACGTTTCCGCTATTGATAATTTTTTCCTTAGTTTCAAAAATAAAAGGATCAAACACAAGCGCTAATGTGAAACCTTTTAATATAAAAATTGTTCGTGTTAAATGGATCAAAGAAGGCATTACATTATTGCTTTCATTTTTGAAAGAACATAAACAAAAAGAACTATTAGAACGTGGTGGTAGTGGAAATATTAAAAAATTGCTCTGGAAGCGTGCCTCGATTGTGTTATCCGATAATGAAAATCAATATCTTCCTATACAGTGTGAATTCAAGTGGAAAAATGGGCGGCAGTCAATAGAAAAGGGGGAAATCTAAATTTTGATAAAATTTTTTTTTATTGGTCCACTTGATTGATCACAATCATGTGCTTCAAATTGAGTTTAGGAACCTTTTTTAAAGCATGCAAAGTAAATGTTATTTTATTTAATAAGATTCGACTAAATATTATTCGTTTTAATTAAAAAATAAATAAATAGAAATGAAGATAAACCATGGATTCATATTAATTGCAATTTTTTCTTTTAATTTACTTTGTATAAATGGAATTATCGATCATTGTTATATTCGTTTATTTAAAGAAACTTGTGCAAATTTTTTATTGTTGTTATTTGATTCCTTATGAATGAATTTAAAAATTGTCAAAAGATGGCGTAAAGTTAAGATAGCCAATAATTTTTTAACCATTAGTTAATTTAAAGTTTCTTATTAAATCTTACGTAAGTTTTGGTCGTCAAAGTACTAATAAATAACCAATAATTTCCTTACACTCGGTTAGGCATCTTTCGCTGCTTCACGCAATTTACGTGACTTCTCCCCTTTATGTCATTCGCGTGGACGTTCCATCTTTCGCAAGCTTTTATGTGGTTATTTGTGGAAGTAGTGATCCACTATTATGATCCTAGGAATACCAATGTAGAGTTGCGCCTCCTGCAAATTAGCTTGTACCTTTTCCTTCTACTTTATTTATTAAAAATAAAGAATTATTCCTTGTAATCTCGCAATTATGAAGATTTTCCGATCAATAACATATTTTGTATTTTGGAAAGTCCCACGGCATAAAGCTAATTTTTAAGTTTCATTCCAAAATTTCCTCTGTTTAATAGTAAATTCGAAACAAAGCAAGATAAAAAAATTTTGAGCTTGTCTTGATCATAGTAATGGATACTTGAAAATCCTCAATCATATTCTTCAACAAATCATAAGTGCTTATATCACCATGTCGATCATTTTGCCGATCATATATAATTGAATTGTCACATTACAAATTAAAAAATTAGATATTTTGGATTATGTATAATATATTTCTAAACAATAAATCAAAGATCAAGTATTTTACATAAGTTAACTTAGGGCTGAAATAATTAATTAAGTAATTTACAAAAATTAATTATTTTAGACTTCAAAGGTTTGGGCAAAGTCACATATGCAAGGCCGATCATTATATTTCATATTTTAAGTCATGTAGAAAATAATATAAAAGTATTACAATAAAATTTTAAATAACAACTTTTTGAATATTTCATATATAAATCATTTGTTATTATAATTATATTAATTTTGGCAAAATGTTGTTTCTAGTATAACTTACCCAATAATAATTATATTTCGATAAAATTTTAATATGTTATTTCATTATATTAAAATGCAGCTACTTGTAAATTTAACATATATCATTATGTAGGATTTCCGATCGGAGTAATTTTATATGTGATAAAAAATGAATAAATGATCAGTTGATCAATAAAATTAAGCATGTCCTTACGCGACATAGTTTTATTATTTTCTTCTTCCCTCCCCTGAAAAGATAAAATATAACACTATGTAACAGGGTCATATAATCTTATAACAACTTTAGTTTTGTGTAAGATTTTTTGCAAACCGAATTAGGAAAAAAAAAAAAGAAATATTTCCGATTAGCTAATAAAATGCAGGAATAATAAGGACAGCATAACTTATAATTTAATTATTAATATGTATGTGCTATAAATTGGTTAGCAGCATCAAAAATCCTATATGCATCGCAAATGTGATAGAATATTCAAAATATCCATTACTGTTCTCATGACTGAATTGACTGAGCAAATAAAATTTACCAAATTTTTAGGAGCATAACGAAACCTGGAATAAATACCAAAGTACTTCAAAAAATCGATTAAATAATCAGTAGATGCAAAGTTGTGTAATGCAATTGCGAATGAACGTTTCACGATTTATAAATTTAAAGCGGTATATAAATTATCCATTTGGAGTAAACTGAAACATCTGACATAATCTTTCTTCGGAACTGTTCTACAGTATAATAAAAATAATAAGAATTTTCTTTTTTTTAAATTCTTTATGGTCGGGTTTGTCATTTTTCTATTGTTAGATGGGAGATCTTCTACAACGCGTCGTTCAACCATAAGTCAGTACGTATCATGCAATTTTTTCATCAAACAACTAAATATTGCCTTATCTCTTTTTCAAAGCTTTTTGATAAATGCCATAAACAACCATTCATTCAAAGACGCCAAATGGAGATTTGCTCGTTATTTCCTTTTAAAACTTTTTTTTTATGTTATATACATCCAGTTGGCAAAAAAAAAATTTTTTATTTATTAGAATCTTTATTTACATATATTTATACATCATATCACGTTTACAAAAAAAAATTTTACTTTAACATATTCTAAAAGGAGTCATTTATCAAGTTGTAATAAAACAATCAAAGTCATTTAGTTTTGATAATCTTCGTCATTTATATGACAATCAATTTTTATATAGTAAGTATTATTCTTAATATAGGATGATTGTATGATTGTTTGATGTTGATTTTCCATATGCATTAATAATGACAAATTTTAAAAACATTATTAATAAACAATTACGGAATATTTTTTAGTAATGGGATATCGATTTTCAATTGCTACTAATTTTGTTCGCTCACTTAACGTCAGCTTTATGACTACTCCTTAACATGCTAAGAGAAATTTATTCCTAAAATTTCTGAAAGCAAGTTTGGAGATTTTTAATACTTAACATAATTGAATCGGTCCCTATTTGGTTAAGATCAGCCAAATCATAAAATCCGAAAATATTTATCCATTTTAGGTGGTATTGCAAAAAATTTAATTTACTACGTCTCATTTTCTTTCATCATAGAACAAAGAATGTAACCTATTTAAGTTCTATATCATTGAAGATACAATAGTTGTTTTAATTCAATTGTTCTTATAATGAAAACAACTTTAAGTGAAAGCCGAAGACAAGTTAAATGACAAGTTTGCACATTCATGCTTACATGAAGAATAAGTTAGATAAAAAAGTTTTTATAATAACTTGAATAACAAAGATAATCATATTTATCTTAATGAAGGCAAATAAAGAAATCTACATAACATGAAAGGAAAAAGAAACTTCTTTGCATTAAAACATTTAAAACGAAGTTTTATCATATATTATCAACCTCAACTTATTTAGATTTCCTTTTACTTTACGCGTATTGTAAACAATACTTACTTAAATTGAACTCATTTAACTTATGTAATTTTGGAGTAATCCATTATTCACATGAAAAAAATGTTCTATCAAGGTTAAAACCAGACACAATTACACATAATTTGTTTTAAACAGAAGTATTTTTTTTTCAACGTGAGAAGATACATATTCTGTCAGCTGTTCATCTGTGAAATAAAAAATTGCATCGCTTGACATTAACATTATTTCTAGTAATTATAATAATATCATTTTAATCAAAGTCACCTACCTTTTGGCTCGGGTTAATAAAATGTAGTGTACCCAACCGCGGCAATTTCTGGAGATGACTCAGGTCAGTCGTTTCGTCGCGATTCTCATTTGAAAATCAACTCTTTAATAAACAAAATTGATTCAAAAAGTTTAAAATTTTGATGAATTTAATAAAAGTTTCATCATTTTAGCAGAATTATAGTTACTTTCGACTGAAACTGTCAGATGAGTTTTTTATCAGAATTAAAATTGTCAAAACACCCATTGGCTAAAAATTGAAACTTTATTATCTAGAAAACTTCGTGATACTCTATTTTTTAAATCTCAGGCATTTGAAAATAATGGAGTCTGACTCTGCTTGCTTCATACAAAGTCGACCTCAGCCGTCCGATGGTATCACTAGTATTAGATATATTTTATAATCACAGATTTATAAATTTACAATGAAAGAATTTTACAAAAACATGATCATACTATAAAATAATTGTAAACTTTTTGTTGTCACCATAAATAGAACTTTCATTTCGGGATATTGTAAACTATTTATAATGCAGTTATGCAACATGAAGTCATTTATATTATTAAGTAAGTTTAAATTCAAGTAGTAACTTAGTGTGTAAATCAAATTAATCAATTTTGATTGGTTTATTCGGGTTCAATAGAAAATGGAATATGATTAGTTAGTATTGCCGTATCAGGTACTAAAATCGTGTTTCAAAGCACAATATTTATTAGTAATTGTAAGTATATAATTTTTATAATAATTTTATTTAAAGATAATTAATTCTTTTCTCTGATTCATTAATTGTGAAGCCTTTGATTAAAACATATTAGATAACTATATAAAGAAATCTTACTGTAATAACAATTTATGACTTTATAAACTTGCGTTATTAGAATTTGTAATTTTCCATAAAATATTGGATATGTATTGAGAAAAGGAAATTATTCGTGGCGTGGTGGTTAAAAAAATAGGTTAAATAAATGTATGATACTGGATAAATCACATCCTGTTGTGATTCAGGGAACCCAGAATCAACCAATCAAATTTGATACACCATATAATAGTTAATAACTATTAATCATCAACACCACTTAAGTAAATTCTAAAGTGAATGTTTGCAATTACGGTATAATTTTGATACAAGGAATATATAGAGGAAATAATTGAAATGTTCCTAAGCTCAATTCCCATTCAAAAAATTGATTGGTTCAAAATCATCATCAGCCACAACGTTTAACTTTTCAAATTTTCACAAACTGGTTATGGAATTATAAAGTAAAATTTTAACATATTAATCCGGAATTGCAGATCCAAAAATAAACTCTTAAGTCAGAAGTTTATTCCTTCCATTTAAAATTGTTTTTCCAATCGGAAATGTGGACAATATTTTGGTGGCAACTTGTTGATCATAAATATTTGCGCCTTCCTCTCGGGGGGTTTTTACTCCGTTGAAAGAGTTCTTACCTATTTTTGTGTCTTTAACGAAATGATTATTCCGATAAAATGGAACGAATCTTTCTTTCGAAGTTTAAATAGAGAAACTTATTTCTTTTTACGATCTAGTTAAATTTCCATCAACTTCCATAAATCATTCAACCATTATAGCTCATATAATTTCCTTAAAAAATATTTTTTTTTTTTATATTTGTTTAGATATACCAGGAAAACTATTAAAATTTTTTATTTATTAGCGCTAAACAATATATTATTTTATGTCAAATAATTCTATTTGTCTTAATTAAAATTCTTTTTTTTATACAATCAAAATGATCAAAAAATTATGAATTAACTGTAAAAATGGAGTTACTTTATTGTGAGCAGATTATTTCGGAATAAGAATAAAAGAAATAACAATATATATATATAAATTACAAATAAACTTACAGCATATTAATTCCTATATGGTTAAACTCCTTTAATTTTTCCAAATTTTACGTAATATTTATTATTAATCTCAATGTGAAATACATGTGATCTATATAACATCTTATGTCAAAAACGAAATTCGCACCGCATTGAGTTAATTACTAGGGAACTGTTTCGGAAACTATTGTTAAGTCCGGAGCACACGTGTAACGAAAGGGAACAACTACGTATCGACTCAATTTTGAGTGGGCGGCGGGACATTTTCATCATAGCGCGTTGATAATAATAGTCCTTCACTATGCTCCGGGCTAATAATAAAAAAAAAGAATATAAATTGCTTTCTATATATTATAAACATAAGTTTATTTGTTCATAGCGTTAATAAAATTTGACTGTTTTGATATAGTCATCAATCAATTCAGTCACCGGACATGATGAGCTTATCATTCATTAAACCTTTTGTTTTCCTCGTTCTCTAAATTATGTTCATTATTTATTAACAGAAAAGAATAGGAATTTCGTCAAAGTTCTTAAGGAAAACTGTTAACTACACAAAAACCTTGTGTTTGGTTGAAAAAGACATATGACTTGATGATAGAGAATTAGATGCTATATTTTAAAGGAAACGTCAAACAAAATAGCGTAGCGAATGAATCGAAATCAAATAAATCACAAAAATACAGATTCATATTAGGCTCGTTAGTTGAAGTACAATGGTTATTGCCGTTTTTAGAAATCCAACGATCGCCAATTATTTTTAATATCGCACGATTTTTAATCTGGCATAAATGATCGACGTTTTTTAGGTACATTTTTGTAAAAAAAAAAATTGACCTCTCTCGATCTTTTGATCTATATTCTACTTTATATTTGGATCTAAGTAATGTTGTTCCGATGGTCTTAAAATATACATTATATAATTGTGAAATCATATAATTACCTTATAATATTAACTTCAAATTAAAATGTATAAAGTAAAATAAGCATACCACAAGAATTAATGATGTAACTGAAAATTCCAATAAAATTATTAAATTAATATTTTATTTTATAAAGAGTTTCATAAGCTACAGTATATAGGTTATGGATTAGATCAAAACCTTCACTATAATCACACCAGAAGTTTTACTAATACTGGCTTCAATGATTTATACTAAAAGAATTCGAGAAATCCTTGTTTAACAATCTAATTTTAATTTTAAGTCTTCTTTTATTCCTAAGCGAACATATAACCAAATTTTATAACTCATTAAAACTAGCGGAACAAGTTTAGAATATAGATCAAAAGATCGAGAGAGATCAAAGATTTTTTATATGTACCGACGATATTTTAATTTGAATTGAGTCGACAATAATTTCATCATGTGGTTAAAACCCTATGAAGCTTACAGGATAGAAGCAGTTTGTTTCTGACATTAAGGTTTTACTTATTTATAGTTAATTAAAAAATAAAATGTTTATATAGCAACGACCGCCAGTGTATATTTGATGGCATGAATTTATTATATATTTTGAACTGAAATCATATGGTAATGTTATATCCTATATACCAAACATAATTCGTGCGGTATCTTTATAGTCATTTTCCTTTTCCATAAGAAATTTGTTTTACAGCTAAATTTCAAAAGTTGCGGGACGTGTAAATTTTAGTTTATCGGAACTGTCGGATTGTTCGGAAATGTCGGAAATGTCGGTGCCAATCAAATGATTAGAAATTTCTCGGCGCCAATCAAATTTATAAATCAGTTAGCACCAATCAAATATAAATAAATAAGTATTCAATTTTTTTTACTCACGTTATTTAATTTTAACAATGAATAGCTCATTAAACTTCCGTTTAAATGCGACCAATTTGTCTCATTTGTTTAGTATGTGAAAAAACTTATGGTAAAGCTTCTTTATGTCCACCTATAATAGAAATTTTAATTCGATTTTTGGTGCTAATACTGTAATTTGATTGGCGCCGAAAAATTTCCAATCATTTGATTGGGACCGACATTTCCGACATTTCCGAACAATCCGACAGTGCCGATAAACTAAAATTTTACATATCCCGCAACTTTTGAAATTAGCTGTAAATAAAGGACTATTGAAAAAATTCATTTATCAATGGATAATTTGTAATTTGTGCAGGAAAATTTGTGAACGTGATAATCTATTTCTTTCTATTAATACAGTATCTTGTCTTTTATGCCGTGCCCACAATTGTTAATTGTCATATTATTAATTGAACGAATCTTGTCATAATTAAGTTCGCCAAAAAGATGTATGATACGTTCTTGAGCTTCCATTATTATAATTTTATATATACTGTATAAATCATAGACTGACTGCCTAAGACGATACCGGGTAATAATCGAAGCATATTACCCGTTTATAATCCAAACACGTTACCCGGTAATAAGTTAAACAAGTTAAACATGCGTTAATATATTCTACGGATCTACCCGTGTAATTGATGTTTTCTTTGTTATTTTTTTTTTTTGTATATATAAATGGCAATTATTTATCGACTCATATAACTTGCTTAAATATTGTTCTTTTGTAACTACGTATATGTCACCATATAAAATGATATGTAAATAAAGATCCTTTAATAAAAAAATGATAATATAATGGATAAATTAAAAAAGAATATTACACTCATACGATTAGTAATAAATGACTGCAAATAATAAATGCACGTGGTTTCAACATTGCTGATAAGCTTACTTTAATAATCATTATCGAAAATCTATTTTCATTTTTACATTTTTGGGAAATCTATAATGCTTTCAAACTCATGAACCTTATTATTAAAGAAATGTGGCGCTAAATAATTTTGGAATAAACATATAAAGGAACTATACTTTGTAATAATTACTTAATGATGTACGCAAGTCAGCGGCATGAATCAATGGAATCAGGCGCCGGAATAAAAATGAACAAACGCGCTGAATGTCAACCATCTCCGAAGAGTAAAGACAAGATATTTTGTGATTAAAAATAATCATTAATCATCATCTTATTGATGCTTTCATGTCTTTCCGTTATAGTACAAATTACTAAAACTTTTCAATATTTGTGGTAATTTGGCGGTAAAGATTCACGCGTTTGATTAGTCCCAAATTTTTTTTTTTTAAAAAAAAAACCACCGATTTTAATGTAACACAAGATTATCAACAATTTGAAAAATTTTATAATTGTTTTTTTTTTTTTTTTTTTTGAGATCAAAATTTAGATTAACTAGATTAAGTAGATTAGCTTTTTTAAGGTTATAATAGGTCAAGAATAGCATTAGGATCATTTGCTGCGCCATACACCTATTAAATCACTTTCTTGGAATGTAGTCTTTTTCAATCAATCAACATTATAATTTTTGGAATCATTGAATGATTTGTACAAGAATTTTTGATTTAATGTAGAATAAATGCTAAGAAAATCAACAATATATATTCGTACTGGGGATGCAAACAGTCGGGTCAGAATCTTTTGACCGAACCGAATTCGGTCACATTCATTTACAATTATATTAAATACAATATCATATATATATTATACAGTCGACCCTCTCTATAGTCACCCCCCTTTATAAGCACACTTACATTGGTCTAAGTTACTAATAAAATTAATTAAAAAAAAAACCACTCTTTAGTCACATCATATAGTATTTTATAATCACATCATTTTTAAATCAATATTGAAGTATATCAAAGGTAACAGCTTATTCCATAATGGAAAGGTTACCAACACCCACAGAACTATGCTATGTATTACCCGAATTAGGTCCCGATTTTCATGATATCTTTTAACCCAATAAATAGCTGTAGACTTACTACAACGTACCTGTTTAGCAATAAATACAAAACTAAACTTTGGACCAGTTGGGTGCTCACGTAAAAAGATAATTTCATATCGTTTCTCTAAAGAAAGTTCGTAGAGGCCTGCAACGGGACGGGTCCGGTGCGGGAACCCGGACCCGGGTTCCAGCTCAAGGTACCAGCCCCGGATTTTTTTATAATTTTGGCAAAAATCATTATTTAGTTAAAATTTAGATTTTATAATAAAATATTTTATTGTTAATCTTTTTGTTTATTTATTATTATAATAAAAATTTGTAAAAAAAAAAAAAATACATGTTAAATTTCGCGATTTCGCATTGTTAATAATTATAATTAAGTCCGGGTCGGGCCGGGCCGGCATTTTTAATTCTTGGCTTACGGGCCGGGCTTCAAAAATTGGACTTATGCAGGTCTCTAACCCGAAGTAAAAATTTATTATGTGAAGGTAATGTACTTTATTTAACATACATGTTATATGCGGTATAAGAGTAACCCGGAGCGAAAAATTTATTTAACTAATTATTCTTGTGTATTCTAGGTTAGAGTTATAGGCTTAGAATTTATTTTCATTGACTTTCGTAACCATATACATTATAGTCCTTCGTTTCGCTCCGGAATTGGCTTCTTTATATGATATTATTAAAAATAAAGATCTGAATTGGATTCTTTATATGTGCAATTTTAGATGCATGAGAACAATTAGTAATGATTAATAATTTAATGATCTTTTAGACTTAATTTAGTTTTAGAATTAGCTATTAAAACCGTAACGCGAATTTAATAGCTTACCTCTTTTACAATGTATTTTTTAATATTTAAAATTTAATTTTGTCTCCATTATTTCAAAAGTGTATTAAGAAAATGACGGATATATATCGGCTTCAACATTGTCAAAACAGCAATGAGATTTATGATCTTGAGGAATTCCTTAATGTCATTGCTTCTCAACAAATCCAGCTTGAAAATGTGAAAAAAAATAAAATTACTAGTAAAATCGAATTTTAGTTCTTGTTTTTAGATCGCTTCTCAAATAACTTTACCAAAGCGCGATGCTGGTTGATTTTTGAAAAAAAAGGCATTGATATTTTATTAAATATGTGAATTTCAACTACTTTTAAAACAATTAATCAAAAATAGAGTGTAAACAAGAAAAGTTCTTTCGTTCTTTATATTTATTTAGATTTATAGACATTTAATTAAATAAATATATTTTTATATTTGTTTAATTTTTTCGCGTTTTTTTTTGCGTTTTTTTAAATTACTGTCATGATCGTCATATGATTACTAAATTAGAATTTTAATATATATTCTGGATTTTAGTTATTAGCTTTTTTATTAGTACTACATTATATTTTTTTAGTGCTCTAAATCAATATACGAAAGCGGAAGCTACACGGTTTTATTTTTTTTAAAAAAAAGAATAAATAATAAAATACAAACGGTAATAATATTATTTGGGTGATACAAAATTACAAAAAAAAACTTGTTAAGAAAATTATAATAAGGAATTAGAATTTATTTAATTAAACAACTACAAGTCCATTATTTACGTAAAACAAAAAGGAGACTGCTTTTTTTGGTTTTTGAACAAAGAAATAACAAAGAGATATAGCAAGATAACGTTAATTTTTTTTACTGTTTGTTTTGATATAATAAATATTTTGATAAGTTAAATCTCAGAACATTTTAGAAAGAAAATGCGAGGTAACAGAATTTATTTTTAATTGCATCTTCTTTCAAAATATTCCAATAAAGGGTTTTTTTAAGGATATCGCCGTTTTTTATTTTATTGTTGTTTACTATAAATTTCGGAATTCAGTAAGTAGATACCGTGTCGCCTATTAAGTAGCTTTTTTTTTTTTTATACATATATATATACTGTATATATTTTAGTTAAAAAATTTTTTTTATTTATTAACGTTAATTATATGAAAAAAATTTTTTTTTTTAAAAAATAATAAATGATATGACAAACAATATTTAATTTTAAAACCAATCATCATTATTATGTTTACAGCATTGGCTGATTGCTATTAATCCTTTTAACGTTCAAACTATTTATTTATTTACGGAGTTCTTTGCCGAACCGGTTTTCTAAACTTTCTATTATTATAAATCGTATTTTACGGGTAAAATAATCCATCAATTTCCCACCTAACATTTAATTTCTATCTTTAGATCTAAAATAGTCCTCAATAAACATATGTACTATAGTTTATAGTTTATCAAAATTTTTAAAAATTTAATCATGTGGCAATTCCACACGTTACAGAATATGACTGATTTTATACTCTTTTTTTTTATTAACAAAATAGCATCCTGTATGTAATTAGGTATTTGTAGAAGTAAGTACCAAAGTTAATTAATATTAGCACTAATTCCAGATCCTTTTCCTTGCAAATTAGAAAAGAATAGTATTATTATAAATATGTCATGTAGAATAAGGCTGTGATTGAATCCTACAAATCAATTAAGAACATCTGTGCAAATTCAGTGAATAAATCGCGTTCCATAAATAATTATTATTAACGTTAAGGTTAATTGCACTAACACGAAACGATTACGCCCAAATACAACTTGGTCACAATTCTTTGGCTAGAAAAGGGAATAAGACGTTAAAGAATTAGATTTTTTTTTAGTTACCGTTATAAATAAAGTTATATTAATATATGATAAATAGCACAAACTTTGGTGATGTTAATCCGATTTTTTTGGAGAAAACGTTTATGCATATTTTAAATCAAGTTAGACGAAGATGCAAAAGGCATTAAAAACATAATGAATGAGAAATCATTGATTCCTTGCAATGACCTTCACTGCCAAACCTGTTGACTTAACCATCAAAAAGATTAGCTTAAAAGAAGTTAAAATATTACAATGTACAGTAAATGTAAAAAAATTAATCGAAAATTGAAAGTTTTATTTTTGATAATATAAATGAAATGAATAATTACAAGCACGTTCATTAGATCATTGTTGGAGAATGACCTTTAAATGAAGTCAAATGAAGTCAAATGACATCATTTCTGTCAAGTCAAAATGATCAAGGTCATTTAAAAAACATAGTAACCTAATAATTTGCCCATCACTGAAATAATTGAAATTATTGAAAATCGAATTGCGCTGCAATATCTAGTACTAATAAAAAAAAAAAAAGTTATTTCGGAGCTAATTTCTTAATAAACCAAAGTAATTCATAAACACTTTCAAAGATAAGAAAAAACTAGCAACTTAAAGGATATATATCTTTTGGGCCAATAGGCACGTGAATTCGTGATTTTACAAGCAACGTATTCGAAAATAATTATTTCTGAGTTGATTTCATGATTAGCAGCATATCCGACCGAGAAATTTTTTAAGATCAAATATCGATAACTATAGCAAAATATATATCCCGAATCATTACTCATTCTATCGATAAATGTTACCTATTCTACCTTTTCTACTTTAAATTGATTGCTAAGTATTTCTACTTGGTAGGTAGGTTATTCTTGTTGTCTAAGAACTTGTGAAGTCGTAATTACTACTTTAACTTCAGGACTATTGTTAACATACCCTTCAATATCAAAATATGTAAAATATGTCCAATCTGTCTTGATGAACGGCTCAAAGTACGTTAAATCTCTATTCGTTTTCAAACTTTGAAACGCGAAATAAAACCTTTTACTAAATATGATTATGCGGGCTCTGTATTGTCAATACCAATCGTGTGAAATTGCTACTAATTATGAATTCAAGATCTTTTTATTCAATAATTTCGCAAAACGTCAAAAAACATTGTGTAAGAAAAGCCAAGTTTTTTTTCAGGCAAAAATGAGTAGTAAAAAGGATATCTTATTATAAGTATTTTCTGCCCAAAATTTGCTGGTGTGTTCATCTTGTCATTAATATAAATGTTAATAACGCTTTATTTTCTTATATATATTATTAAAATTTCTTAATGATGAACCTTTTGACACGATAACGATCTAAATTATCCTCTCATATGTGTTTTAACCTAATTTAGTAAGCATGTTTGATGTCGCCATGTTACACGAATAGTTTTTTAACAATTCTGTTGATAAGCACGCGAGACAAAAATGCCAATCGTGATATGTTAATAAGGTGAACTTGACCCAATCATAAAATCGA